TAACACAGAAAATGCACTGGATGTGTTCTATATTCAGAATCTAAAGAAGAAGCCTACAGAAATATTTCGCGAGTATGCTACTCGCTGGAGGTCCGAAGCTGCTAAGGTCAGACCTGCCTTAGAGGAGGAACAGATGAACAAATTCTTTGTCTGGGCTCAGGACCCGCAGTATTATGAACGACTAATAATGATCGAGAGCCACAAATATTCTGACATTATCAAGTTGGGTGAAAGGATTGAAGAGGTCATCAAAAGCGGTATGGCTACAAACTTCGAGGCCTTGCAAGGTACAAATAAGGCCTTGCAGTCAGGTGGTGTGTCCAAGAAAAGGGACGTAGGAGCCGTAATGGTTTCACTGAGAACCAAATCCCCTATCAAATGCCAAATTTACCCAACACCTCCACTCATATATCAACCAACTCCAAACTATCAAGCACCCTCACCCTCCTACCAAACTCCACCACCCACTTATCAATCACCACCACCTCCCGCATATCAGCCTACTTCACCCAGATATTCCCAACCCACACATGTTTACCAAACCTACAATGCTCAACCATCCCACTATCAATCACCTCCTACATGCCAAAACTTCCCCAGACCTTGACCAAATTTTGATCGCAGACCTCCAAAATAATATACAACCATTGTTGAACCTATTGACCAATTGTACGAGAGACTCAAAGCTGCTGGTTATGTCACCCCTATCCCTACTGCAACTCTTGAGAACCCTTCTCAGTGGGTTAATCCGAACAAATCCTGTGTATACCATTCCGGCATAAAGGGACACACCATCGACGAATGTCGTTCTCTGAAAGACAAGATCCAGTCTCTGATTGATAGTAAGATTATTGTGGCAAAGGAACCCGCTCCAAATGTCCGCAACAACCCTCTGCCAGACCATAAGGGTGGAGGCATCCACATGATTGAAATAGAGGATGATTTGGATCCCGAGGGATCGATTAGATTGATAGCAGAAGGTGATGACCCAAAGAAGCCAATAGTTATTCTTAATCCGATCGTGGTCCAGACTCAGCCCTCTGGGGATACCGAGGTAAATATGTCTGTGCCACTTAAGTTTGAAGCAACATCATCTACAAAGACACCAGCAGCAATTGAGGTCGAATTCGTGTCTCCGGCAAATGCACCTGCACCATTTGAAGTTGCAGTTTTACCACCCAAGGCACATGCTCCATTCGGAGTAAATATATCCACACCGATTCCAGTGGCGATGTCGACCATGACTTCATTCTATACAAAGGCTATACCATGGGACTATACAGCCAAGGCAAGGTTAGGTTTGAAGAAACTATTGCAGCACAGGGTATGACAAGAACTAGCAGAGTTTATACCCCTAAACACTTAGTTGAGTCAAGAAAGCAGGCCTCCAATCGGCCACCCATCATTGAGATAGGGCCGGATGATTTTTGGAGAAGGATACAATCCAAGGAATACTCGGTCATCGACCAGTTGAACAAAACACTGGCGCAAATCTCCATCCTTGCTCTGCTACAAAATTCTGAGGGACACAAGAATGCTCTGTTGAGGGTGCTGAGTGAAGCATACGTGCCAAGAAACATCACTGGCGGGGAAATGTCTAACATGGTAGGACAGGTATTGGAAAGTCATAAAATTATTTTTCATGAGGATGAGCTGCCACCTGAAGGGTTGGGTCACAACAAGTCGCTGCACATCACCATGAAATGCGAAGACTATTTTATCACCAAAATCCTGATCGATGAAGGGTCCAGTCTTAACATTTGTCCGCTGGTAACGCTCAAGAAATTGGGTAAGGGAATGCATGAAATAAAGGACGGAGCTATCAATGTGAAAGCTTTCGACGGCTCCCAAAGGTCCACCATTGGGGAGAGTAGTCTGTGTTTGCAAATGGGGCCAACTTGGTTTGATGTTAATTTCCAAGTGATAGACGTGCCAGCATCTTACAATCTGTTGTTGGGACGGCCGTGGATTCATGTTTTTGGGGCCGTAGCATCAACACTACATTAGGCGGTAAATTTTGAATGGAATCACCAGGAGGTGATCATTCACAGCGACGGTAGCAACCTTATATGCAGTCGCCAGACCATCCCGTCAATCGAAGGAAGAAAGAAGCTAGGTAGAGAGACTTACCATCACATCGAACGGGTAAATGGTCTTGACAAAGACAAATGGTGGGATAACAAGATCGAAAGTATACTGAATTAAAGTGGGTACGAACCTGGCAAAGGGCTCGTCAAGAATCTCCAAGGAATCACTAAGCCCATAAAACTCAAGAAGCATGGTGATAGTAGGCTATATAGTTGATGTTTACACCTTAATATGACCATACTTTGTTGTTGTTTTATAGATAAATTGCCAACAAAATGCTCTAAATAGTGTTCTTTTGTTTAGAAGGGAATATTACATGAGAGGAAGCAACATGGAGTGTTTTGGAGGCGATAATGTGAAGAAAAACGCCCACTCGAGAAGTACCCGAACACAAAGAAGCATAAATGACCTGGGCAATAAGGCCACCGCGACCGCGGTGAACCACGGTAGATTAACAACGTAAGGCAGAAAGGTCAGCATTCACCGCGGTCGACGGCGACCGCGGTGCACTGTTCACGCTGCTGGAAAGTTTGAGGACCAAAGTGTAAAATCGGGAAAACTTTTGTAAAACCCTTATATGCTTTAGAAACTCGCCCAAGATTGGGCTAAGCTGATTTTAGACTACTTTTGGAGGCAAGAACAAGAGTGAGAAGATCAACCAAACATTAGAGTTTTTCTATCTCCTTTTAATTCTTGCAATTTTACATTATGAACAATTTAGTAGTTTTCTCTTATTTTGTTATGAGTAGCTAAATACTTATCTAGGGTTGATGGAACCAACTGTTGGTTGAAGTTTTGACTCAAGTTGTTATGATCAAGCCGGATGTATGATATGATTGTTCAACTACGTTTTGCATGGTGATTAATTGAATGAGCCCTTGATTAATCGTGTCTAATTACCTTATTTTACTTGAGAAAGAATATTAGGTTAGATAGCTATTGAACTACACCACTTTTGGGTAATTGAAGAGATTCATTACTTGAACTTAAAAGTGAGTTTAGAGATAACAAAACTTTGGTGGGATAATTTAGAGTTGCATAACTATTGTCAGCTAGAGTAGTTCGAGAGAATGCTCTAGTAAATTATTGTAGTTGATCGAGAGATAATTAAGATAACCCATAACTCTTAATCCTCATAGAGTATTACGGTGAGATTATAGCGGAAGAGTCAAGACCTAAACTAGCAATTGGGAAAATCACTGCCCTAGACCTTCTTACCATTGAATTATCTTTGTTTTAGCTTACTGTTGTTTTTAATAGTAGTTGAAGTAGTTAAACAAAAACCCAATCATTATTGATCAAAAATCTTGCATCTAGAGATTGATTGAATTGATAATAACATTGTCGAAGAGTGTAAAGATAGGTTAGTTTCCTGAGGATTCCATTCCGGACTTAAAACCAAATTATATTTGCAGCGACCGCTTAGTCCTTTTTATAAGGCATAGTTGGGTGTTATCAAATTTTGGCACTGTTGACGAGGAACTAACGGTGTTATTTATTACAGCTTAGAAGTTGTGTTAAAATTATTGGTTCAAATCAATTTCCAAAGGTGTTAATCAATTTTCATTGAAATTCTAACGTTTGAACTCTTTTGGAATTCAGGTGTATGCCTAGAAATTCTTCAAGGACTGGAGAACTGCTTGAAGGACTTTCAGACCCCAAGAAAACATTTTAGGGCATTGAACCATGCCAACAAGAGGATCCAACAATCACAACAACCACACCAGCTTGAAATTGACATGGGTGACATAGAGAACGTCAACGGAAACATCAGGGATGAGCCAGCTGACCCAAACGTCAGAGTGGTGGCACCTTTTGTGCCAGAAGATGCACTTTATGATTGGGCTCAACCTACAGCTGACAACCTGGCAACTGCCATAGCTGTGCCCGCAATTCAAGTGGAGACATTCCAGATCACCAACAACATGCTACATCTGCTACATAATAAAGGATTGTTCTCCGGGTCACACATTGAAGACCCTCAGCAACATTTGAAAAACTTTCTGTCAATTTGTGTGACTCAAAGGCAACCAAATGTGACCCCAAAAGCTATCAAGCTATTACTGTTCCCGTTCTTTGTGACTGGGGAAGCTCAGACTTGGCTGAATTCGCTCCCAATAAATTCCATTGTCACCTGGGAGGAATTAGTAAAGCAGTTCCTGAATAAGTTCTACCCGCCCAACAAGACTGCAAGGCAGATTGATAAAATATTGCAGTACAAGCAGCAGCCGACTGAGACCTTGCAAGAAACTTGGGAATGATTTAAAGGGATGCTGGTGAAGTGTCCTCACCATGGCATTCCAGACCAGATGCTTGGCCAGAGATTCTGCATGGGGTTAGCTGACAATATAAAGGTCAATGTAGATGCTTCAGCTGGAGGTGCATTTTTGAGTAAGACATTCACCGAGTGCAAAGTCCTTCTTGACAAGATGTCCCAGAATTCGAGGTAGATGACTAAAGGTACAACACTGGCACCCATAGTGCATTCAGTTCCTCTTGACCCAAATAATTTGCATGCAGAGAACATGGCCACACTCATGACTCAGATGAGTATTTTGACAAAGAAGATAGATGATATAGGTACCAAACAAGTGCATATTGTTGACACGACAAATGGAGGACTGTGTACACCCTATGTTAATCAGTCTTATGTGTGTCCATGGAGCGGAGAGGGTGAAAATCAAGGGGCAAGGGAAGATATGAATTATGTTAACAACTTTTTGGGTCAGATACAAGGAGGACAGCAGTGGAGACCGGCACCAAATTAGCAATACAGACCTAACATGCCTCAACTTGGGGGCATACAAGTTCAAGGCCAAATGGTGCCATACCACCAGAGACAACAGGGCTACCCACAGCAGAACCAGCAATAGTTGACATATCAGCCACCTCCTCAGCAACAAGATAACAACATGGTAGAGATCAGGGGGATGCTCCAGCAACTCATTAGGACAAATGGTAATATGCAAGAAAAGTTGGTAGTACATGATTCAGCTATAAAGAACATCAAAACTCAGTTGGGGCAGTTGTCTATGGCTTTAAACAACCGCCCCCAGGGAACATTGCCAGCGGACACAAATATTAACCCCAAGGAGCAAAATCCGAATAAGCTGATGGCAGTAAGTCTTCGGAATGGGAGAGATTTAGACAAAGAGTAGGAGGTTGCACAAGCCAGCAAAGAGACTATGCCAGCCACTCTAATTCCACTAAAGGTAGATGAACCATCAAATTTGACTGAAGTGGTGGTTGAACAGGGTCAAGATGAAAAGGGTAAGGCTAAGGTAAATGAACAAGCTGCAGAACAGGTGGTGCCTCTTGTGCCAAAGAACCCCAATAGAGAGAAGCCAGCAAACAGTGCACAAAGGGTGATACCTGCACCATTCCCTCAGAGACTGGTAAAACAAAAGAAGGAAGATCAATACAAGAAATTCATGGAGATGCTACGTCAAATTCAGTTGAATATTCCTTTGATGGATGCCTTGAGGGAGATGCCAGGTTATGCGAAGATGATGAAAGACCTAATGTCACAGAAGTTTGATTTTCAGGACCTATCCACAGTGACTCTGACGCAGACCTGCAGTGCAGTAGTGACCAAACCGATGGCTCAAAAGATGTCAGACCCAGGTAGCTTCACTATTCCATGCATGATTGGGAGTTATGCCTTTGCAAAGGCATTATGTGATTTGGGAGCCAGCATAAATTTGATGCTTCTAGCTATATACACCAAACTGGTATTAGCAGAGCTAGACCGACTTCGATGCTGTTGCAGCTGGCTGACCGCACGGTAAAAAGGCCTACTGGGATTCTTGATGATGTGTTGGTGCAAGTGCGGAAGTTCGTGTTCCCGACAGACTTTGTTATTCTGGACTGTCAGGTAGATGAGGAGATACCTATCATTTTAGGTAGGCCATTATTGGCCACTGGAAGAGCACCGATCGATTGTGAGACTAGGGAATTAAAAATGAGACTGAACGATGAAGAAGTCATATTCAATGTTCAGCAATCTATGAGGAGACCCGGTGAATATGCTAATTGCTCTCTAGTAGAGGCAGTGGATGTGATCCTGCAAGAAGATGATGTGACCCTGACTGCTAAAGATAGCATGTCTGACAAATTTAGAAGAGATGGACGGTGAAGGGTTAGCTGAGTGGGTCATGGCACTTGAAGGCCAAGGATTCTGGAAAAGGGAACCTCAGTTCGAGTCCCTTGAGTTAGAAAAAAGGGCTACACCTCCAGCAAAGCCATCAGTAGAGGAACCACCCAAGCTGGAGCTGAAGCCGCTCCCAGCTCACCTCAGGTACGTTTTCTTAGGCCCTGATTCTACTTTGTCTGTTATTATATCATCCGATTTACTAGATGTCCAGCTAGAACAGCTCTTACAAGTACTGCAGGAAAGTAAGACTGCCATTGGCTGGACCATGGCAGACATAAAGGGTATCAGCCCAGCCTTCTATATGCACAAGATTCTCTTGGAAGAAGGGCACAAACCTTCCAGAGAACATCAACGAAGGCTGAACCCGAACATGAAAGAGGTAGTAAAGAAGGAAGTGATCAAATGGTTAGATACGGGAATCATCTTCCCCATCTATGATAGCAGTTGGGTCAGCCCTGTCCAACGTGTGCCGAAAAAAGGGGGAATGATTGTTGTGCAAAATGAGAACAATGAGTTGATCTCAACTCGTACAGTCACGGGATGGCGAATTTGCAAAGATTATCAAAAAATTGAACACAGCCACCCGGAAGGACCACTTCCCCTTGCCTTTCAATGACCAAATGTTGGACAGGCTGGCCGGGCGATCGCACTTCTGTTTCTTGGATGGATATTCGGGGTACAATTAGATATCAATAGCCATCTTCGCCTTTCGGAGAATGCCTTTTGGGCTTTGCAATGCACCGGCGACATTTCAACGGTGCATGTTAGCCATTTTCATAGACATAGTGGAGGATATTATGAAGGTCTTTATGGATGATTTATCCGTGGTGGGAGATTCATTTGAGGACTATCTTCACAACTTAAGAAGAGTGCTCAAAAGATGTGTGGAGACAAATTTAGTGTTGAACTGGGAGAAATGCCATTTTATGGTATAGGAAGGGATAGTCCTGGGGCATCGAGTGTCCAGTAAAGGAATTGAGGTCGACCACGCTAAGGTTGACGTGATTGAAAAACTACCACCGCCCACTTCAGTCAAGGTGGTGAGAAATTTCCTTGGGCACTCCGGGTTCTACAGGCGATTCATAAAAGATTTCCCCAAAATTGCTAACCCATTATGCAAACTCCTTGAAAAGGATCACCCTTTTGTGTTTTCTAATGATTGCAGGTTGGCATTTGAGGAGCTGAAGAAGAGATTGGTGACTATACTCATCATTGTTTCACCCAACTGGGAGCCTCCATTTGAGCTCATGTGCGACGCAAGTGACTATGTCATAGGAGCAGTCTTGGGGCAGCGAAAGGATAAACTGATGCACCCGATTTACTATGCAAGCAGAAAGCTAAGCGGTGCACAACTCAATTACACCATGGCGGAAAAGGAAATGTTGGCTATCGTTTTTGCATTCAACAAATTTAGGGCATACTTGATTGGCTCGAAGGTTATTGTTTACACTAACCATGCAACAATTAGGTACCTGGTAGAAAAGAAGGAGTCAAAGCCACGCTTGAATCGCTGGGTTCTTCTGTTGCAAGAATTCGATCTGGAGATACGTGATAGAAAAGGGATAGAGAACCAAGTAGCTGACCATCTCTCACAGTTGGAAGGAGCTGAAAAGAAGGTAGAGGTTGAGGATATAACAGAGACATTCCCGGATGAACAGTTACTGGCAATGACAATGGAGGAGGCACCATGGTATGCTGATATTGCTAATTATTTAGCAAGTGGTATTGTGCCTTATGAACTCTCCTCAATACAAAAGAAAAAGTTCTTTCGTGATTGTCAGTATTATTATTGGCATGAACCTCTGTTGTTTAAAATATGTGTAGATAACATGATGATCCAGCGGTGTATCCCCGAGAAAGATCAACATTTTGTTTTGCAGGCTTGCCATGCTTCACCATATGGTGGACACTTTGGAGGAATTCAGATAGCAGCTAAGGTGTTGGAGTCAGGCTTGTACTGGCCTACTCTGTTCAAGGATGCCCATGCTTGGGTTAAAAGCTACGATGAATGCCAAAGAACTGGCAACATATCTCGTAGACACGAGATGCCAATGACCACAATTCAAGAGGTGGAGATTTTTGACATGTGGGGGATTGACTTCATGGGGCCATTCATTAGCTCGTATGGTAACAAGTACATATTGGTAGCAGTTGACTATGTCTCCAAGTGGGTCGAAGCAGTGGCTCTTCCGATGAATGATTCTAAAGGGGTACTAGGCTTTCTAAAGAAGAACATTTTCACACATTTTGGTACCCCAAGAGCTATACTCAGTAATGGCAGAACCCATTTCTGCAATAGAGCATTCGCACGGCTGTTGGAAAAATATGGAGTTTGTCATAAAGTGACCACCCCGTACCACCCACAATCGATCGGGCAAGTTGAAGTGCCCAACAGGGAGATTAAAAGTGTCCTCACAAAAATAGTGAATGCAACAAGGACTGACTGGGCAAAGAAATTGGATGATGCATTGTGGGCGTACCGTACAGCCTTCAAAACCCCAATTGGTATGTCACCATACAAGTTGGTGTTTGGAAAGCCATGACACCTCCCAGTTGAGCTAGAGCATAAAGCACTTTGGGTATTGCGGCAGTTAAACTTAGACATGAAGACAACAGGTACTAAAAGAATCACTGGGTTACATGAGCTCGAGGAATTCAGGTTCCAGGCCTTTGAGAGTGCTAGATTATACAAAGAAAGGATGAAATTAGTGCATGATAAGCACATCTTGGATCAAAACTTCAAAGAGATATAGTGTCGTTATACAACTCAAGATTGAGATTATTCCCAAGTAAGAAAGTCCCGATGGTCAGGACCCTTCAGAGTGGTGCAATTGTTCTTAAGTGGAGCTGTCGAGATTGAATCAGAAGATGGGACAAATAAGTTCACAGTAAATGGGAAAAGGTTGAAACATTACCTGGGAATGGCTGAAGAAAAAGGGGATAGAGTGGTAATTACTTTGGAAGAGCCCCAATACGTGAATGAGGAGTGATGATCAAATGCTTGTGTTGTCCCGCGACGTTAAATCAGGCGGTGCGTGGGAGGCAACCCACGAGTGTGTTGTGAGTGTGTTCATGTAACTTCATATATATAACAAAAAAAACAACGCCAGCACCGCGACCACGGTGGACCGCGGTAAACCGCGGTGGAAGTCAAACTCTCTGCCTCAAATTCTACATCACACCACGACCGTGGTGGATTGCGGTAAACCGCGGTGAGGCGTGAACTTTCTGCCTCACGTTTTTAAACCCACCACAGCC